CCTTTCCATAACTCTCCTTAATCTAAAATTAGTTGTACTTCGAAATAAATTATTATTATATTTCGATAGTTACCGCGTTTAAACTTCTCAAACAGTCAAAATGAGATATACTTATGTTGTTAGGGTGCGCTATAAAACCACGGGGTTTCGGTTGATCACTAAGCTTAGTTGTTCACAAAGAAGTATGTAGCAAACACGGAGTAAAATATGGCTGTCACGGATAGTTGTCCACTGGAGGTCCACTGATTAGCCCTGCGATTCTGTAACAATCCAGACCCGAATTCGAATTCACTCATGTGTCCGAATTCTTGTCATTTAGTATAGAAATCCTATTGATTCCTTTTTTTGTATGAAAATACTAAACAAAATCGATTGATTAAACGTGTCTTACATATTTTAATCCTATATCATTTCGAAACTCACTTCACTTATTTCACGAAACATTATTACCATTCAAGTTTGAGCGGATGCCGCTTTTTGAAGTGAATTCGGACACCTGAGTGAATTCGAAATCGGGTTTGAAGTTTTACAGAATCGCAGGGCTGGTCACTGATTGACGTAATGATTATGTGATGGAATCGGTAAATTGCATACTAAAATCGGTATTTTTGTACCAAAAATCGGTATATGACAATAATGTAATATTCAATCAAATACTTTTTATTTTTAATAAAAAATGAGGAAGTATTTTAAGAAAAAAAAGAAAGCACAAAAAAGCACCTTAGTAGACGGCAACTCTAGCAAAAATTGATTTTTGCAGGAAACAAATGGACCTAACATAGTAATTTCAGTTTCTTTTAACTAACATATTAAAAAACTGAAATTTGCAAAGTTTGAACCTTAGATATCACTAAATAGAATATGAGTTGTTTATTGAGTTTTGAAAATTAATTTACTTTCATACATGACAGAAAACCGGAAGTGTTGTGATGGAAAAATCAAGAAAGTACCGTAGCGACATCTAGTTTGATTTCGTGAACTAATGTTTTTTTTTTTAATAATTTCTCATTCCAATACATAATAAAATGAATTTAAAATCTAAATTTTCCACAAAAGTTATTTTTTTACGATCTGGATAAATATTAGAATTAATTTGGAAGTTGTAACAATAAGCAGCATTATTGAGTTATTTTGTGTTTAGTGGTCCAGCGATTTGCTGAGTGGATAGTTTATTTTGCGGTTTTGTTTTCATTAAATTAATATGACTTCAACGTTGACAGAGATGAATGGGACAGTAATCAAATATTGGAGATAAAAATACCTCGTATGGTATAGGTTTTGAGACAAAATAAAAATTGCTTAATTTTTTAAATAATTAACTTATAATTCAAAAATTTTTAGTAACTATTAAATAGATAATCATCAACAATTAAATATATACATTATTCAAAATGACTGCCATTGTTATTAATACAGGCCCTTAGACGATTTGGCCAGTCATCAATGGCGGCACGAATCTTTTCTAGCGGAATTCGCTTTGCTTCTCGAACAAGGGTCCACTTTAGTGACTCCAAGTTTATTTTTTATTGAAACCAACAGCTTGTTACAGTTCATACTTACAAACTGATTTATAATAATTTATAAAGCCGATTATAGGTTTCTTATATACATATTGTGTTGATTTTTATATGTAAGCTACTTAATTAATAAATTATGTTAATTTTGCATTTAAATGACAAAAAGAAAAACTTAAATTTAATAACCAGAGAATACTACACGCACACCATGCATACCCAAATCAAGATTTTCCCACCAGTCACACAAAGATGTCAACATTCACCCGTCTAAGATTAAAATAAACTAACAAACTTACAAACCATTAAGTATATCGATACTGTATAAGGACCCAATTGGTTAGGATAACTGGGAAGTAGTTTTAAAGTGTATACTTTACCAGTACTAAGTATCTAGCTAATTAGGAAGCGCACATGAAATCGTTCAGTATACTTCTTTTAAAAGCGGCTTTACTTAACAAGAAGATATCTTGTTCCTTGAAAGATTCATTGTGAATACGAGCGATTCGCGAAAGGACAGTATTTTTAAGCATAATTAGTGGCGTGATATGGAACATGAAATAGAGGCATGTGGCGAGTCCGACGCCGGTATCTTACTTTTGAACTTGGGAACTCGGTATATACCATTACACTAACCGGATGATAAGTGCGCGAGACATTTCATGCAGAAGCTGGGACATCCTTGCTACTTTTAACGTAGACTTTATTGTTTTGTCGGTTGAACTTTGCTTCGAAAGTCATTTTTTCGTCGGTGAAGAGTCCTGGCATCAGATACTCTTCCCCGACGAGATCATCATGTCTCCTCAACAGCAATGGACAACGTTCGCTTCGTAACTTACGAAGACGTCGTCGTCGCGGTGAGTTTGATTTTAATGTTTACTATAGGATTATATAAGACTATAATTCAATTATAATATTACCGAGAATCTAAGTATTTTGTATTGAACTAAGTCTTAGTTATAAAAGAATCCCTGGTAACAATTGTGATGATAATAAACAAATAGTATTACAAGCGAGAAATTGAAGTCAAATTTAATCTTTTGTATCTATGTACTCTGGTTTAGGTGTGACGTCATACGCGTGTTTTTGATCGCAATAGACTTTCTAATTTTGCGATCGGGATGTTTTAAATAAGAATTGTAAATATACCTATAGCACGATTTAATACATAAACCGACGTGAAAAATCGTATAATTTTTGGACTTACGTCCAACTTAGGTCTATTTCCTTAATTAACTCAGTCTCTTGTGGTTATGTATTTTATGAAGGTTATTTTATGTTAATACGATTTTGTTCTATCTAGATATATTAACTACCGTTTGTCACATTTACACTCGTTTTCACTAAGCTAGAACAAGGCGAAGCTTAAGAAACCCCTAATTATACAAACTGCCTAAGCTGATTAGTTAAATTTCAAATAAACATTTTTTCTTTTAACCCTTGACACATTTGTGACCTGTCATATTATATAAATGCTTAGTGCAAGCCGCTGCATAACGCGTGTCATAATTTTAGACATTGCTAAATGTCATAAGGCATTGGTGATATACATTTTCACCTTAGGCGATTACTAAATTTTTAGACATATTTAGGCGACTCCTAAGTTTTGTGAAGACGAATAATAATAAATGTAAATATTACCCAATTGTGGTCAGTGCCGGTTTTAGCACTACTAGCGCCCTGGGCGAAATTTCTATATAATCTTCGGCGCCCCCTAACTGCAATTCAATTACTACTACATACTACAGATCAGTTACTAGTCTTTTTTTCACCGACCCGGCCTACTTACTTGTAATTTTCCCTAAATTTAGGTAGATTGTTAAGTTGGCAGCATTAGAATGGAACGTAGTGTTCAATCGGTTTAATTTCTCGGGAATCCCCGACTTTCCGACCATACAGAAACAATGTGTTTTTCTATAATCGGGGATTCCCGAGATCTATCTCTTTTAATTTTTGACGAAGCAGAACACAATCAACAATCATCTTCATGCTTGTCATAAGTGGACGCTCTTAAAACAATTATTCGATTATTTTAAAACAAACAAACACAGTAATCAAACGTTTAACGCTACGTTATGATGCTCTTGTTCCAACTATAGAGTGACATTAGTTTTATTTAAAAAATAGACACATAAATAGTGTATAAGTAGCTGTTTCATTTTTGACGGATCACATCATTAGGTAGTACAGATTAATTTTTGCTATCTATACTACACATTCCCTAATACTTAAAGTATATAAGATGTTAAAATAGCAGGTTAATTATTGAAATTGGGTCCAGACTCTTTACCCGTGTAACACCCTAACAGGGTGTCACATAATTGTTATGTATAACTTTGTGTAATTGTTGTAACTTTTTGACTGTTTGCAGTGGGCCATTACTTATTATATGATAAATTATTTTGCTATTTCGAATAAGTGGCCAAGTAGCGGTAACAGTATCAACATCTAGATGATGACTTGCCAGACAGAGGCTCCACTGCCGATGAATTCGTTTGTATTGCAGCATTTTAGCTTCAGCTTAACGTTTAAACATGCTCAAACGAAAATTTTCTTAAATGACCGAGCGATAATGCCCACCAATGTACGTCATCTTACCTAATAAAATACATATCTTGATATTGGTAATCGGTATGTTATTCTGTTTTACCATAATATAATATTTTTCTTGTTAAGTTTCCTTTCAATTCATGCTGAAAGTGAGGCAACTTGAAAACAAAAAAACATCCTCACGGTTCTTGTGTTTTTTCGCCGACCCAGTAGGCCTTATTTAATGAGCGAGGGAACTATATATATATCACAGATCACTAAATATGTAGCAAGCATATATATATATAATCTTTGTCTGTGGGAAATGAGGAAGTATTAGAAAAAAAAACATTAGTTCCCGAAATCAAACTAGATGTCGCTACGGTACGTTCTTGATTTCTCCATGACAACCCTTCCAGTTTTCTTTCATGTTTAAAAGTAAATTAGTTTTCAAAATTCAATTAACAACTCATATTCTATTTGTACTTTTTCGTATTTGTATTGATATCTAAGTTTCGAACATTTCAAATTTCAGTTTTTTAATATGTTACTTGGAAGGAACGGAAATGACTGTCTTTGTTCCATTCGTTTCTTGCAAAAATCAACTTTTGCTAGAGTCTCCATCTAGAGGAGGTACTTTTGTAGTGCTTTCATTTTTTTAAATATTTCCTCATTATACAGAATCAGAAATAAGCGCCGGACAAAAAAAGGGCGCCGCGGCCTTCGGCGCCCCTTTTGGTCTGGCGCCCCTGGGCGGTCGCCCAACCGCGCCTTACCCTAACGCCGCTACTGATTGTGGTAAATGTCGTTGGTAGCGAAAAAATGTTTTGTTCTGTAATATGTCATGTAGGTATTGTATTTTTTCAGTGTTTTTTTACAGAAATAAATAGAAAAAATATTGATTTTTAATGACTTTTGTATTCGTCACTTATGTAGTGAAGTAAAATTAAGTATCTTATACGTAGATAATTATATTATTTTATTTTATCAAGTTAGTAGGTAGCCACCACTACAAGTTAAAAAACATTAATAAATTCTACACAGTAAATAATTTTTCTATAACATTATTCATAACATTGTCCTTTTTAGTTAATAAATTATGTCAAAAGGATTATGGAATGTCCAATTTGGCTTCAATACGATTTCGGGACAAGACCAAGACTTGGGCACGAAGAAGCTGTCGTTCTTTGAAGGTGGGCAGTTCTTCCTTGCGAAGTATTCCATAGGATACAAACTCCACAGAATACCTACAAATAAAATAAAAAAATGTATTAAGTAAGTAGATAAAATATGGTTAAAATAATGCTTATAGCTAACCCATCGAATCAATTGATCAAAATTCTATTCTAAGGAAATATAATCTTGTATGCAATATTAAAACCATACCAGGATCATCCGATATTCGATTAGAATGCCTTGAAATATATCTAAGCATATATATAATTTTTTATTAGGTAGTACATAGGTATAGGTATTTACATTAAAGATTGGAATCTCCGCCTTTCATTTGATTATTTTTAGAGAGGATATAGTTTTTATTTTAGTATGTAGACATTGTTTAGCGGAATACATCTAGCCCCCTTACTCTCTACACTAGCATACTCTGGCGCTAGTGTATTCAATCAAGAATGCGGAGCGACACAATTGCAATGTCGATTTGTTGCGATTGCGTTCGAGAGTAAGGGGCAGGTCGCAAGTGATACCTACGTTATTTCACACACGGCTACTATGTCAAATATTCGCAAGTGTTGTTGTACTCTATTTTCAATACAATATGGTTAAAAACCAAGTTGAGAACTTTGACAGTTTTGTATAGTCTAACGTGCTGTTGACAGTAGATATGATATTGATTCCTATTAATTAGCTGTCTTAACATTTATTCAGCGGTTATTTAGTTTATGGGTCAAGGTGTACACTACTATAACAAAATTCCTATGGAAATTTTAAATTTACCATTACCTAAGATTAAAACCCATATTAAGAATTGTCTACTCAGTAAAGGATATTATACTGTTAATGAATATTTAAACGACAAAATTGCTTGGAGTTAAATATGGCTCATTTTTCATATATATTAAATTGTTAATCGGTGAGCTTCTTTGGCTACAAATGTGATTGCATTGACGAAAATGCTGTTTTACTCTAATATTGTGTAATATTGTAATGGAAAGTGACTTCAAATTTTAATGAAGTCATTTTTCAATCTTGACGCTCTGTATGAAATAAAACAGGGAGAAAAAAGCAGCCCTTGCCGAGTTTCTTGCCGGTTCTTCTCGGTACAAGGTCTCCCGCCGTAGATTTACGAACCGATGGCATAGCTCTTTACTTTCACAAGTGCTTGTAACCTCCTAGACTGAATAAATGATTTTGATTTTGAATTACGGAAGACATAAAAAAATTCTCGTGTACAATATTAATTTTTAAATATAAACAAAGGCCTAGTTCTTTCTAGTTAGAAAGCAGGTACCACTAGTTCAACCATCTAAACGATTACATATTTACAAAGTATAGGTAACTTGACAAACTTATACGAGGGTCAAACTGAAAGTTCTTAGAAAATCAAAAACTGATTACATTAGCCAGTTATTAGTTTTATTATATCTTTTCAAAATATTGTCCATTCACGTCAATACACCGCTGCATGCGACGGAACCACTGGGAAAAGCACTTTGCCCACTCGTCCTTAGGGGTCTCTTCAATGGCATCGCGATACGCAGCCACCGCTTCTTCAGCATTCATAAACCGCTTTCCTTTAAGTTTTTCTTTAATTTTTGGAAATAAATAAAAATCACAAGGCGCGAGGTCGGGGCTATACGGCGGGTGACCCAGTAATTCAACGTTTGATGTCGCCAAATAGTCGATCGTTCGCTTGGCGGTGTGCGACGAGGCGTTGTCGTGGTGAAGGAGGATCCTACTGCGAGGTCGTTTCTCTCGAACTTGTTCCAAGACAAGTGGCAAATAATTGGTAGTGTACCATTCTGCAGAAACTGTTTTTTGATCCTCTAACACAATTGTTGCAAAATGACCTATCCTTCCAAAGAACGAGGCCACCATTTTTTTTCCCGCACTTCGATCTCTCTTCACTTTAGTTGGCAACTCCTCGAAAGGAAACACCCACTGAGCAGATTGTCTTTTGGTTTTAGGATCATAACAGTAAATCCAGCTTTCGTCACCTGTTAGTATGTCGAACACAGCATTAGAGTCACCTCCGTTAAATCTTTCAATCATTTTACGACACCAATCCACACGATGGAGTTTTTGAGCCTCAGTCAAATTATGAGGTATCCACCGTGCGCAAAGCTTCCTGACCGCTAAATGTTCGTGGAGGATTTTGTGCACTTGACTCATACCGATGCCTAAGCTTGTCCGAATCTGTTGATAGGTCACTCTTTTGTCAGTCTCTATCATACGCCGCACAACACAGATGTTATCTTCAGTCGTCGCCGTAGAAGGCCGTCCCTCACGTAAATCATCAGTGAGATTAGTGCGACCACGTTTAAACTCATTAAACCAGTTGTAAACAGTCGCACGAGATGGGGCTTCATCGTGAAAGGCCAATCGTAGTCTATCATAACTTTCTTGTTGACTTAAATGACATCGAAAGTCATAAAAAATCATTGCACGAAAATTTTCTCGTGTTAAATTCATGATGACGTGACACAGACAATTTTCAATTTGCCGCCAAATCGTAAAACAAATGACAAATGAATGAAATATATACTCAGTAATATTGGCAAAGAGTTATATTTTCAAATTTTAGAATTATTTTTTTATTATATTGTTTATAAGTGGCCAGTTCTAAGAACTTTCAGTTTGACCCTCGTAATAGGTACCCGTACATTTTATTACTTAGATTTCTTTCTGCTTTACAATTTTTGCTTTTTCCAGTTATACTATAGTACGATGCCTCGATGTACAACTTAAATTTATACATCCGGACGCTCTGCGTATCGCCATGTGGGTCAATTTCATATATTTAGTCAGGAACTGATTACATAAGTCCTTTCCAATGTGTCGTGAAAATATATGTATTATGTATTAATATATGTGATATTCGGCTCGGGCTCGGGCCCGTTTAGGAATATAATTTATAGTTTACCATTGCCAACGAAGAAAGAGAGCCACATCAATAGGTTTAGGATGTTGGGGTAACGGTGTCCGGTCGTGGCTGTCAGCGGCACCATCAGCAAACCACATACGCCAAACATCAACAGAAGCACAGGATAAAAGAAGCCAAATGATAGAGCCAACACGATCTCGTGCGCTATTGATGAGACCTTTAAAATAAATAATATATTTTCAAACTTATATATGTTCACAAATTTTTCAGGATTTTATATTCATACTAATGTTTTTAACGCAGATAGGAACTGTAAGTAGGTAGTTTATAGGAAATATATACTTATTACCTAATTAGTAAATTATAGTGAAAATATTTGTGTCCCGCTAATTAATATAACAGAGCGTAGGATTATTAGCCCAGTCAATATAGACATTCAAGGTTACATTAATTCGCACAAAGTTGATAATTGGCATGAATGTTGGGAATACTATGAAAAACAATTTGTCAAAAGTCCCTATCGAACCGACGTGTGCTATATAAAATGTTCAAGGTTGAATGTTGCAAAAATGGGATTTTTGTATTTTTCAGATAAATGTCAAGTTATAGCATAAAAATTGTTGAGACAACAATTATTTATTCATTATGTGATTAACTATTAATACTGTCTCTACATATTTTTTCCTAAGATTCACCATTTCGGAGATATAGGGATGCAAAAACTTGTGTTCTTGAAACGTACACGTTTCCGCGTCACCCGTGAAGCACTAGGCAGTTTTTGGCAGGACGTTTTTTTTTTTTTAAATTAATGTATTTACTTGTATTACCATTCTGTAATGTATATAACGTTCATTGACAAAACTTTTTGCATCGCATTTGTTACCAAATTCATTAAAGTTTTCAGTTTTGAGATAATTAATGTAATCTCTTTTTGAAGCTAATTTGACGGGGCTAAATAAAACTATAGGCGCTAAGCAGCGTGGGCTAAATGAAACTGTTTTATATTGTGATGAGGTTATTTTCTTAGGTACTAAATACTTATAATAAAATGGTATCCCATTAAGAACTATAGTTATACACTGTGACGATACACTAACGAACGCATGTGGTGCAGGCTTACATCCGGTTTTTGAATTGAGAATTTAAAGTTAAAACATCTCAAACAGTTGACAGTTTGATAAAACTAGGACTTTTTGACTTGTGAAACGTATTAAGAATAATCCGTTGAGATTTAGAAGTACTTTTCTCAGTTTCTCAATTCAGAGGCCGTCTTTTAAATCCTGATCATTTTGATATTACTTTGTTAATATTACTTTCTGTAGACTTGTGCCACGAGTTTTACAAACGCAACCTTGACGCAAGCGAAAAGTAGGTATTCATTACATTTCTGCTCATTATGTGAGATTGCTAAATATTTAATAAATTGCGTACAAAATTAACCCCTTCATTTAAATTGGGGACAGTTATTAATTAAGTAAAATCTCACACCTATCACATAATCCTGTGTAGGTGTTATTATACACTTCATATTTACGTTTCAACATTAATTTTAATACTTAAAGCATAATCTTTTAAGCCTGTGAGAAGTTAAGTGGAAAGTTAAATATAAAGGCTTGTACTGATATTAAATACGAGCATTTCATTTCCTTGAAAAGACGCATGGAAAAATGTTAGAAGCCTTTTACAGTCAAATACTTCGATTGGCAAATATATTTCAAGCGTGAATTCGGCGAGATTTGCTGAGGTCATTGCTGTTAGAGATATTGCGACTTCATCCCTTACAATAGTATCTAGCTGGATGGAGGTAAATCAATTTTCTAAATGGAGAGATTAATCTGCGTGTGATCAAATAACAACTTTTATATATATCGATGTTGTTGATAATGCTAGTTATAAGATAAAAAAACAACTTTTTATTGCACAACAGAAATAAAAAACATTATACATAACAATACGGTTTATTGTTATTGTAGGTTTATTGTATATATATCATAATAACAGTGAGATTCTATTGAACTAAAATTATGGTAATTTGAAGGATACTCAAAGAGTCCGGGGATCTTCTTGCAGGATTCCAAATTCTTCCCCTCCCAGTGAGAGTTGTTTAAAAAATAAAATAAAAAGTGTAAATGTGTGTCTAATTATATTTTCTCTAGTTGAAATTTGATTTTTATTTTGTCACGAATTCACTAATTAATTAATGTACTTTTGGAAGATATAATAATCTTCCAAAAGTAAAAAATACGAAAAAACGCTATCCATTCTTCCTTCCCATCTGTGTGGAAAGTGCTACTCTTGGCTTCTAATATGATATCTGTTTAAGCATTTTTCATTATAAATATATTATCGTTTTTTATGAAATCTTCATGCCTATAAAATAGCAAAAATTGAAATTAATGCCAAAAAGGCATGCTCTACCACTCAAACCGGTGAAGATGTTTATTTATTTGCTCATAAAAGAACAAATAAATAAATATCTGTTCAATTATTGTGTTATTTAGATCAATATATATCTTCTTGTATATTAATAATTTTGATACCTACTACATCGTAGTAATATCCGTTTTTTTATTGATAGTGTCATGATAACACGTTATAATCATGAGATAAAATTTTATTAGACTCCGAGAAATGATAATTCCTATCCAAACTTCTATCACAGAGAAAATGTTACTGACACGGAAACTACTCGATCAATTCTCAATTACCTAGCCTTCTTACTAACATTATTAATTTATATAATAGGGATGACGGCTGGGTAAAAGAAATGCAATTCTACTTAGTCCGTCAGTGAGATATCAGAAACGTATTTTTTTTACTTCAATTAATCGAGAAATAGCTTATATATCAGGCATTAAAATTGAGGAGTGGGGGCTCGCTACGTCACAGTTTAGTAGAAAACGTACTATAACATGACATCATGCGAAATTTCAACTCCTTGTATCACCGTAATTTTATGATTACGAAAAAAATAAAAAAAATACGTTTTTAATATTTTTCAACACTCTACTTGACGGACAAACAAATAAAAATTAGTCGCCATCCCTATTAGGAAGTAGATAGGGAAAGCTTAATAAAAAAGGTAAATTAGCGGTTCAATTATTCAAGAAACTTCTATTGAAGAAATGGAGTTTTTTGTAGGTTTTTTATAAAAGTAGTTGTTATTTGCCTATTATCTTACCAAGAATACAATTGAAATGGCTAGGACGCGGCCGACGGTCGGTGCTAGTGGTTTGTAGATGTGGTCCCGCAGCCAAGAGTGCACGACTCTGTTCCACGTTCGATAGTATGTGGAAAACTGCGACGTCGTCCACCAGTCCTGTGAAAGTAATATATTATTAAACAATACATGATATACACACTGTTTGTAAGCAGGTAAAAAGGGTTTGTAAGCTGGTTTTTATTGAGATATCTTGAAAGTTTATATAAAAATGTCTTTTACTGTTTTACTTTTAGTTCTTTTTTCACTTTAATGTCTTATACATTTGTTGTCTTTATAATATGTTGAATATAAATTAAGCTTTGTTAATAGCGTTTAAAGGAGAAAGTTATAAGTTTGTCCATACATTCTAATGAGATAATTTGTTTCCAAATACGAGTACCAATAAACTAACCAAAGTTTGTTACTCTTGGTGAGTTAAATTATATTACGAAGATATTTTTTTTGAATTTATTTAGTTTAACTTGTATAATAGAAATCTGAAACAACGAAAGTAGGTAACACAACTCTCAGACTCGAGACAACAACATCGCGACAAGCGACATCTTGAAACCATTGAACCATTGAATCTTCATTGAAATTGAAACAATTTCAATGAAGATTATTCTTATTGTTTTTTTAGTATTAGGGTTTTCAAAATCAGTGTGCCTTAAGAAGCACTATTCGCCTGTGGCCACAGTTTTTTAAATGCAAAATCTTATACCGGCCGTATTCCATCAGACTGGTTTAAAAGTATTCTTGAAAGTCGTCCACAGAAGGATATATAAGTGCGAACAAACCACCTTAAACTCACAATTTGGCTTCAAAAGTGGACTCGGCACTAGAGATGCATTATTTGCAAATCAAGTGTTAATACAAAAATGCTGGGATTATTGATTAAAAAAAAGGCGTTAGGCAGAGTCCGACATAAGAAATTGCTCAATATAAACTTTACTCCAAAGACATTCAGTGCATACATATATAATATATACTGGAAACAAACAGCTAATGTACGCATAGAAAATAAGTGTGCGTCAGGGCTGCGTTTTATTCTCTTTACTATTCAATCTCTATTCGGAAAACATCTCTTCAGAGGCCTTAGACGATGTAGAGATTGGTATAATAGTTAGCGGTAAAGTCATTATCATATCACAACATCCGTTACGCAGATCACACTGTCTTATTGGCGCGTACAATGGGAGATCTTCGGGTATTATCAAGTAAAGTATACGGCGTAAAGTAGAGAGTGAGTATACGGCGTATGGCCTTATACACACTCCGACTGCATGTTATGTATGGTGTTACATACTTTTTTTTATTTTGTTACAGCCTTTTCATTTATGTCTTTTTAGTTAGGCAATTTTAATTAGTTGAAGATTTAAAATTCAATTGCATAATTTTATGACGATAGCACACTTCTTAACATATTTTGCTAGCTAAGCTCGTAAAAATAACTGCATACCTCATAAAAGTACCTGTCACTGAACGTGAGAATCTCGGCAGCGGCGTTAAGCCAGGCATGCAGCAACATATAGAAGCCAGCGAGGAACGAGATTACACCAGGTAGTATGCAGGCAAACATACCACGCACCACAGTGCCTGCTTCTACCTGAAATAAATAAGGAATGAAGAGTAAAAATGGTTTGTAAAGAATGGGGCAAAATATTAGCTAGGTCAATATTTTGTAAAAGGAGAGGAAGGAAAATCAATACAGCAGGAAAATTCTGCTAATGTTCATGTAGTAACTGCATCTCATTATAATAGAACCTCAACAAAGTCAAAATAATCTTTATTCAAATAGACTTCTTAAAAGTACTTTTGAATCGTCCATCTTTTTTTTTTCCCTACCACTCGTTTAGGACGTCTTTTTGCTGATAAGAAGAACGAGCAAGAACTCACCAGCTCTAATAAGAGTTTTCAAAACAATCAACGGTTTGCATTTTAACATTGTGCTGTCTACCTAAAGTTCAATATTATTAGTGCAATGTTTTCCTCATACAACAATGGTGACAGACGTATAATAATATTCGACTTCAGGTAGATAGATAGTACAATGGCAAAAAGTAAGTAATTGAGTTGCGTAAACATTAGGCGAACTGGCCTGCTGCTGAACTCCATTAATTTGTTTCAATTATACCCTATATGGAACGAAAAAGGTATTTCTATTTTTTTAGAAAAGCGTCCATTATATATCTGTTACATTTTTATGAGCATACAGCAAAAAGCAATTGACTACAAAAGAAATTAAAAAGAAACCTAATATTTTGTATATTTCTAAAACACTTCCTTTGTTTTAATTCAATGATCCGGGGTACAATAAACATAGCTATATTTATTAAACATATATTGATCAAAATTTAACCTTTTTTAATATTATTTTAGGTACAAAGTAAATTTTACTTTGCACTAGCTTATCCTGCTATAAGTTTTACAGCTCCGAATAGCCAATAGAAAGGCTGTTTTAAGCAGTTGGTTGCCAATACACATTGCATAATTTCAATTCAAACAATACGAAATTGGTTTAATTTAATATATTCGCTCGACTGGAAACCTATTACAAAATAAAGTGGCGCAGCTACGAGCGACAATCCTACGAAAAAAATTCTTCATTTCCAGTAAGCTTCCGATAAGCTGGCTTCGGAACGGTCCCAAAGGATAGCCGTTTGTAATGGATGACATGTCACGGCGTTTGATGGGACATTCATGACAGATGACAATCGGTTCCACGTGTTGCCACAAAATATGGATTCATCATATGAATGTAAATTTAAAGATGTTTCAAATTGGAAAAGGTTGTTTTATAGAAATTATATTTAAGATAAGTTTATTTCTGAAATTGTAAACATTATTTATACGCCGAAGCTTAGTGAGTAATCAAAGGTATTCGATTCCGTATAGTCTAGTAATAAAATTTGATTTAAGGAACGCTAATGGATATGAGATGATTGACAAAAGTTTATTTCTAATCAATAATATGATATATATGGAGTATAATTATAATATGAGAACCTATTGTGACTTAAAATATTTCTTATGTAAATTTTTTATTAAATATTAATAAAATCAATTTATTCACTTTAAGTAAGTCTGATAAATATTGAGCATATAAATATTATTCGAGTAAAGTGTTCACAGAAAATATTACCTACATTTTATCTCTTTTGTTATGTAGTTGTTGACGACAGAGTTGCCAGCCTCTTGAGTTATTTATAATTTTTATAATTCGAATGTTTTTTATTTTTTATTACTCTCTCAGTCCTCTATCTCTATCGAATTTCATTTCTCTCTCATCGTGTATCTGAATCATCTCAAATGAATGTTTTAAATTTGAAAATTTGTGTCGATAATCTCACTTTAAACTAATGATAATTTTAATTAACGTTTGTGCAACTGGGTATCAATCTCTGTCTTGTGTATATACGTATTTTTAAATATATCTATTTCTTGCTAATTTATTTATCACTTAAATAGAACTACGGTACGGTACACACCTTTATCAATAAGAAAAGATTGTTAATTATCTAGACTTTCTTCTTGACTTCCATTTCTATGATTGAGATTATAGAAATAGAACCAGTCATGTATTCGTCTATTATAAAATCTATAAAACTTTTTATTCAAGAATCATATTAAAAAAGGGTCGATTCCTCAACTCTCATTGGTGTAGTCAGATGGCATCATTTACAAGAGCAATCTCCCGTGTAATCGCACCTACGCGCCTATTGAGGGTACACTTCGATAATTACTGTTAGAAAAACCCATTCTGAACAACCATTAGTCATGGAACCCGCCCTTGATGGGAAATATTATTTGAGTTAGGTCCTACAGATCTATGAAGTTATGTACTTAATTATTAACGTCACAATCTGAGTTATAGTTTGTTTATAAGAATGAACATTTATCTGGAATTAATCTATCGAGTTATTTTGCACATTTGTTATTAAGAAAAGAACGTAACAAACAGTTTTATAACCTTAATTTAAGAAAGCGCGAAGGAAGGGGCTAAAATTTTGGATCATTTGTTACTTGTTATTGAATGATCGGAACGGGTTGTTTATCGAAACAAAAGTTTTGTGCTTGTATTGCGAAAAAAAAAAAACATTTAATTTTGTAAATTTGTTCTTTCCACAGGTGGCCGTATTTGTGGTATACAATAAACTTATTGAGTTTCGAGTATCCCCCCCATCATAGTGTGGTGTGTGGAATGTGACATTACATCATCGCTTGCTTCTCCCTTTTATTTATTATTTCATTATTTTCAGTTATTTATTTTGGGTCAGCGCAATATGTACCTATTCTTCTTTCACAAGTCTCCATCAGCCGTCATCTCAACATTCACTCCTTTTTACGTCTTATCTTTCACATTCGACTTTCGTTCGGTCTTCCTTGTCCTTACATTTCTACTCATGTCCTTTTTTGTTACATGTAAATCATATTTTAATTTCATATTTTACAATTTAATTTAAAGTGATTAAAATAACAATTCTGTAATTACAGAGTTCAATTAATGCCTGCATACTACCTGGTGTAATACAAATTCAATTTTAAAAAGTATCAAGTAGTTCAAATGTTTTTCATTGATAGATTTTGAAATATGGGATGAATGTTTGGAAGGGTGAGAGAGATCCTACCACTCTTTTTAAACTATAAAGCTTTAACTTTTGAACTAATTTATGAACCCATTTTTACGTCGAGGAAATGCTTTTGATACTGTCATTGATACCTGGCGAGCAACTTATGGATGACGGCTAATGAGTATTAAGAGTACCGAAATCAAAATAAATCTTAAAACAGTAGCTATAAAAAAGTTTGCACTCACCTTAGGTTGTTTCCCATAATCGGACCAGTACGGTAGAATGAAGCGCTCCCAAAGAAAGCTGTTGTAAAAAATAATGGCGGCGACTTCCATGAAATGGTACAATACGAAACCCCAACGAATTTTCTTTGTCCTGCGTTGAAAACACTATTTTTATTTCTCTTACCTACTGTTCTGTTTATTAGTTTTGTTGGTTTTTCCTGTTACAATTTACCTACTTTCTATGTATTATTTATTGCTGCTAATATGGCTTTGTATTCTTATAATTAAATAATGTAAAGAAATAAATAATTGAATGGATCAACAAAGTTATTTTCCGCTGAAATGACCGATTATTATATTTTTAATAGATAAAAGTAGAGACCTAAAAAATGCGAGTGGACTTGTGCACGCACTAAGTGTTCCGTAACAAGCAAAAAACTCACGTTTGTTATATGTCAGCCCGGTGACAGACGGATGGACGGACAGAGGAACGAACAGCGAAGTTAATGTAATATGGAAAAACTAATGAGTCAACAATATATATATACCTTGGATATTGGTCCCTGTAGAGCAGAGTGGGTGCGAATAAAAAGTAAACATAATGTTTAAACGAAGGCAGAGGTTCATCACTATAGCAACGAGGGCCACACGCCACCGCTATAGCATGGATTTTCATTGCAAAACGGAACTGAAATTAATAAACCAAGTTTGAATATTTAATTTAAAAAATTATTGCATTTAATAGCCGAGGATGATTTACGTAAGAGTGTGTCGCGTCACCTATTAAGCGTGAATTTCGCACTGAACCATGCAATTAAAACCTTAAAAGTACAAAATGCATAAATGCGCGTAGGCCACATAAGGCAGTCTCACGTTGTTCATTAGCGCTGGTAGAGAGGCAGTAGGCTGATTTCTAAAGTCGCTAACCACTTAGCACTGACTAGCACTAATAAACTACGCCTTGAGCTGTCAGTGTAACTGTAACCAGTCAAGAGGTATAAGCCTATGTGTGCAATGGTATGTAAGTAAGTATTTGTCATCGTGATTAACTGTTTCTCTCACCGTGCTCTGGTCCGTTCTAAGGAAGTCCTAATTGTCAGGTATTCAAGTGCGCGCGGTTTTCGCAACGATTCTCAAGCACGGTGACAGGAAACAAAAATATAATAATGGGGTAAATATTGTGACAAAAAGTTACAATGGCACGCATAGCCTTAGGCTATGCACGCACTGGGGATTTTGTCTGCGTGCCATTCTGTCTCCTGTCACCAATCTCTCAAAATCATTTTAAGTTTAAAAAATGTCATCACCTTAGAATTATTCGTGGTCTGGTGATTTTATTGTTTCTGTCATCTTGCTCTAGTAATGTCTATGGATGTCATTTAATTTTCACGTTTTCAAGTGCGCACGCCTTCGTGAAGATTCTTCAGCACGGTAAAAGGAGACAAATATCACTTTATTAATAAAGCAACAGTCTGTACGTAGCCTAAATATCGTAACTGAGTATCATACAAGCGCCATTCGGCGCAGCTTAAATTGATTTACATAAAATGTTGCCGAAAAACATGACATGGCGCACAGCAAAACAGTTATGATTTTATAGTTCAAGAGATATTTTCAGAGATAATTCATTAAATGTTAAATGAGCGATAAATTAATAAGTTTTTGATAGAAAAGGTTGAATATTTGTGTGTAAAAATGGACAGCTTTGTGTGCATAATTTTATTTACTCTAAAATCGACTCCAAATATATCGAATAATATATCTTAAAATTCAACACTATTTTGTTAAAAATACTATGTATGTACTAGAGCCAGATTAGCCACTTAGCAAAAGTGGCAAATGCTAGGGGCCCCGCGCGTAATTTTGCGGGATCTACGCAATCGGGAGCCCAATAAATAAATATTGTTAAAAAAAACAAGAGTTAAAAAACATGTTTCTGCCTAAACTCGTATTTTTAAGTATAAACATGTACTTGAAGAATGAACAAAATTTTTTGACAAGCTATAAACCACATTGTACCATTTGGTGCTCCAACAAATTTGCCGCAAGCCCCGCTCTGGCTCAATCCGATACTGACTAGGTATATTAAGTTCATTAAAATAAGACCTACGTTTAAGGTTTTATTTGAATTAATTAATAATAGTTTTGTTTTATTGAAGGTCTAATGCTGTGACAGTGCTGTGTGTGCTTCAATGTGTTTTATAGAGTATCAATAAAATTGAATTTCCTTCTATATTGAAAAAACTGTGACAGAAAATTTATGACACTTTTCGCCCGGGTCGAAACAGGTCCGTCAGTAAGTAACGACTTTTAAAAATATAAATATTCATGTTTAATATGAAAATAACTAAAAGGGGCTAATGGTACCTAATGAAAGTAACTACCAAAATATAGTATTAGATATATATACACGAGTATTTTAAATACCTATAGACTTTGCTATTGTGATAAGTTTTATAATCGCAGACGGAAATTAATTAATTAGATAACTGAATTTTGAAGTTCATTGACTTTAAAATTTTCACTGATTTAAATAATCTAGCAGTCGAAAAATCGTCTAATTGTCGTAACTCGATTATATAAATTTAAAATATCAAAATGAGGTTTTATTATCAAAGACTACAATTTCTAGGTTACTGAGTGATTTTGTTTAATTTAATTAAAAGAAGTGGCCATCGTGTCCATGCACATAGTATGTGTAGTGTTTTTTTTATAATGAAATATATTTTTAAGCGTTATTAAAAAATATTAGCATTTTGTACTTTTCTATAAAAACTTTAATTGTACCACAGATACTGTACCAAAGTTCATACTCATCCGATGACGGTTTTTTTTTAAAGGGGAGCTTACTATCCGTTTTACTTATTCATTACAATTAGTTGATTTAAATAAGTATTACAGGAGGTATTCGTCGATAGCCGAAAATTATTAATCAAAATCGCATTACATTACGTTTAGCGCGTTAAAAACGACAACTGCAGCTTTATTCCGTTATTAATATTGGAAGGCAATAAGTGTCAGTTACCCTTTAATAAAGCCGAGTCATAACGAAGGATAACTTACTTCCTATATTATTGAATCAAATTATTTATGACATCCAACGTAACCCTTCCGAGCCGTTAACATTATTATGCTTCTGATATAAACATATGGAATTATACTGGTTATAAGGTCTCCCATTTTAATTAATTAGTTCGCGAACGAGTTTATTGATATAATTGTAAAATTACGATAACTAGTAACTTTCAAATCCCTAACAACTCCTGAAGATGAACAATTAATGGGATGGGCGTAACACGTGTAGAGTTACAAGATTTGATGTCGCTTTTTTAAAAGATTCTTACTTGAAGAGGGGGGGGGGGGAGTAGGTAATTTTTATAATCTTTTATTTTAAATTGATTTATCACTTCTGAATTGTTATTCTTTCTCAATATTATTGACGTCTTATTTGTCTTGTGTTCATAAAGTGCTTTTTAAATATATATGTTTGTTGTCTAATTTCTCTTTGATTTTATTAGATATACTGTCGATAACAGATACTGTTTAATGTTATATGGTAAAACTGAAAAAGTTTTTATTCAGATTAAAAAGACATGACTCAATCTTAATACTAAATGGGTACTTCAATTTCACAAAAAAGAGGATATTGCAATTATAATTAGATAAACAGAACACTTTGACCGAGTTTGGAATAAAGGAATAGCGTCTCATTATTTGCTAGCAACCACCCTCATGACTCCACATGGAACTAATTTGCAACAATACCTCTCTAACTTTTGCTGGCAGCTACAATAAAACTAGATCAAACAATTTAGGAGTAAATAGATCCATATAAAGCGCTATAGTCAAATGAGAGTTATTGTTTTCTGTAATTTTGTATCTATTAATAAAGTTTTTTTCATATGGTGTTATAAAGAATGTACAATAAGTGTAAAAAAAATGTAGATCGTTTTATAAGAGAGTTAACATTTATTTAGTTAATGGATAGATATTGTAAAAGTAGTAGGTATAGGTAAGTATTCAACAAACTGCAATCAAAGTAAGGTTTTGAATTTCCAATTTCCCTGTTAAAGAAGATAAACCTGTATACATAATTTTCATGGACTTAGACGAACCTAAATAATTTAGAACTCACGAGCTAGGAGCCAAAGCTGTTTTAAAAGGGCAAATGATTGCCTTCATTAAATTATTTGAAAAATTTGCTCATTTATATGAACTCCGTAACAAAACGTCTACCCCTCTTCACTGAGTTAAATTGTAATAAATCAGGAAAAATGGTCGGGTTCAGATGTATCGCGGAATCGCTCCATAAATTAGTCCACGTCTTTCGTAGCAGCGTCGGCGTCAAGCATGGAATACAAAATAACTTCAAAAACGAGATTCTTTGGGAGTAGCGGAAGATTAGAAAAATGGACTTATTTAATTAATGAAATTAGATATGTCATAATTATTTTACGGTCCAATTGACTATATTTTTCGGGCTCAATTTCAAAGGCACCATAATGCACGTAGAAGTTTTCACAAATGGCCGACTTGTATCATTATTAAACCTGCATGGTGCGTAACTTTACATAAGCGTTAATTTTCCACAGGAAATTAAACTTCTATGTATTGATTTTAATTTAAAGAAAATAACAATTGTCGTTACAGAAGTTATAGTGTATAATTAATAGTGTAAAGAAAAACAGAATTCTTACAAACGCACTTTCGTTGATTTGTATCACTATATTGTAAAAGTAACGGCCAATACTTAACTTATAATGTATCATCGCGCTCCTTCTTATTTTTGCGGATTAACAACAAATTAAAGGTACGTTTATGGCTTTTCAAAAAATTGTGGTCATTCTTCCAATCACCTAATATATCTTTCATGATGACGATAACGAATAATTAGAATCAGTCAATTTGCTATCCAAACAGGAACGTCGTCTTTTGCTTTCCGAATAACACAGCACAACTAATCTGAGACTTGAGTTGTATTTGTCAGTTTTTTTTCTTCTCAAAAATATGAGTTTGGGAAGAAGCCTGGCTTATTTTAATTCTTGTATTTTTTAACAATAAATAATTTATTGGTCAGACCATAGTGAGGCTCCCAATTGCGAAGAGCTTGCAAAAGCGCGGAGCACAGTGTGTGGGATCATTAAGAGATTCTCAAAAGATTTCAAGGGCCTGTAGCCATTTAGGTAATAACCAACTACATTTGTGCAAGTATAATTTTAGGATATTATTAATTATAATGTAAATGAATGGTCCCAATAAGCAGTAGAATTGTTGGGAGTTCTCATGGGTGAAGTCTGGCACACTCTTCCTTTTTCTGTATTTCATTCAACGCTTGTATTTTTTATCCATATTTGAATCTTAAGGAAGCTGAGAATGAAGTCCCGTTCGAAGAAATAGAACTCACTATCTATACAGCACATTTGATGGAATAGTTTAAGATAATCCAATTCCCACTTTCAAGATGTCTCTTTGAGTAAGGTAAGGTAGATAAGGTGGATTGCATCATAATAGCAGTTAAAATGAAATTTGACTATTCTCCTCTTTCTCTTCCTTGGCATCTTGATATTATTTTCTTTTTTAGCATAGTAAAGTAATAACTTTAACCAGCGAAACGTTATGGCGTAATTGCCAAATGGTGCAACTTTTTCCTTAACCGGTACTTTAACGTTTGTTATATGCAACCAACCCATTGGTCCGTTTTCATTAATCCTAGGAAACGCCCAAATCTGTATATTAAATATTTAGGCCTCGTCTAAGATGAAAATGTATTTGTGCCAAAAGCCATTGCTAAAAGCAAATTGAAATATACCAATGTTCGTAACCACTGAAATATGTTGTGTAGGAATGCTTTACGTCTTGGGATTGGTAGCACACGTCAAGACCCCTCATCACATTAATATCGATTCTCTCCATTTTCATTTTCCTTCTTTTTGTAATCTGAGTGACTTGGATAAAAACGAAATATTCAACAACATTCTACTTTAGCAAAGTCTGAGTACTCTCCGTTTGTTTTTACTCAGTTTATGGAATGTGATTTCAAGAAAAGTATTTTATCTATCAGTTCCAATATCCGATTAGGTATGGAAAATGAATTTTTGTGTTGCGTTTGACACTGTAAATTTTAACATTCTACTCTCTCTACTGCGCTCTATTAACATTTCTCCATTCGTAACTGAGTGGTTTCACAGTTATATGTAAGGAATCCCGCAACGAGTGCATATTGACGAGAAGTTTTTCTCTAGGTGCGACACAACTGCCGTAGTCCCACAAGGTGGCGTGCTGTCTCCTCTTTCTTTCTCAATTTACGTTCTATCTTATGTATGTATTTATGTATATGCGTTTTGTATTTATGTAAATAATATATATTTATGTATCTTATAAGTAGTAATGTATTTTTACTAAATGTTATTTATTTATCTTGAAATTACGTACTCTTAGTCAACACCACCGTTTTTCATGATTGCTTTTTGTTCTTCTACAACCAAAGGTTGCCTGGTAGGAATCGCTTTTAGCAATAAGACTACCAATTGCTACACTACCGTATCATGTTTAATTTCAAAATTTTATATACTGTTAAAAAATGGTGTGACAATCAAGTGTTATTATTATTGTATAGTCACAAATGTGTCAAGGCACAAAAAAAGATTATTTGAAATTAAACTAATTTGCTTACGTGATTCGTGAGATTAGGCTTTTCTTAATTAAGGTATGCCTTGTTCTAGATTAGTGAAAAAGGGTGTTAATGTACTACATAAGTATTTAGAAATTAGAATTAGTGTTACGAATCGAGCGCAGACTACTTATTTGGAATAGCCAAGCTTCCAGCATAAAATAATTACCAAGATATTTTTGTAAAGCTATATTCATGTTTATTGTTGTCTGAATATGTATTCGGTTCAAAGGAGGTATTATGTATATATGCCTTGTTTGGGCCGAATAATCAGAAAATATTTTCAACACAAGTTTACTCTCATAAATTGTGATGGAAATTAATTAAGAACAATTGTACGAAATGTGGATGGCAGCAGGTTCCGAAGTGGCAAGATACATAAATCAGATGAGACCCTTATCCAAGGGACGACGACGGGCGACATTGTGGTCACCAAAAAGCTCTTGGGAACTTTATATTCGGAAGATTCTTGTTTATATTTACTTCACGGTAGTATTTCATGCGTAATAAATATCAATATTAACTCACGGAACAGGCGCCTACTATTTGCTGATCATATCATATAAAGTGAGAATATTTTTATTAATAGTTATATAAATAAAGGGATTGATCACGGTCGGATTAAGTATGACTTGCAATTGGCAAGTTCACCTTATAAACTTGTAGGTTTGGATGTTTGTTATTTCTTTACTCAAAAACTACTGAACAAATTTTGATGACATTTATACTGATATTATAAAGAGGTAAGATCTTCTTTGTTTGCATAGAACAAACTTAGTTCGAAAATGCTAGACCGATATTAAAAATTCTAACGGGAAGCTACATTTATTTGCAGGTGACATAGGCTAAAATATGCTGGCGAGGTCGCGTGACTTTGGTTTATGGATAACGTCAGTCTGGATTTACATATAGGTTAGTTTTTATTCCACTAAATAGTTTACAATTGATCAAAGTGCCATTAAGTCATCAAGGAAACCACGCGAGTGGACACTCTGGCGAAGAGCGATAGTGCTTTTATAAATTTTGAAACAAAAGTGAAAGTATAATTTTGATAAGCTGAAGAAAGGCAAACATGATCGTTAATTATTGAGCTGCATGTTTTTTTTTATAATTTTATTGATTTTCAAAAATGGTCTTACCATTTCTAAAGAAACTGTCGCAGACGATGCAAGTGCAAGATAATTCTTCCCTAAATCCCAAACGGGTACAGCGATTAGGGCAATCTGTAGTAATATCAAACCGGCAACGCCCAGTATTGTCCACACTCGACATAGCGCTGAAATATGAAGAAAAGCTATCAGAACAGAAGAAGTATTTAAATAACCCGGACGTTACGCATCATTGATGACGTCCGATAAAAAGTTTTAATTGGAAACAATTTTATAAAACTCAAATGGTGGTTGCTTGCAAAGTAAATTTTGGTAATATATCTTTTATAAGATTTTAATCTGTTCTGTTATAGGTTTTATGTTGTCTGTAAAATATAACGATTTGAAAAAAGTAAAGGTATAATGTTTATTCGAGCTGCATATGTTTTGTCCTCATTACAACTCGAAACCTATTCAACCTACATTTAAAGCATTATGCTAGTCAAATCATTAGTTTTTTAATTTTCTGGAATGTAACGATAACGCTAAATAGTGCCCGAAAATTACGGGACTTTATTAAGCTTGCTTGCTTATGTTATAGATTATATTTCTTATCATGATTTAATAAACAAACAAATCGCTTTTGAATATTCAAGTATAGTATGAAATCAAGTTTTTCATCCATACAATGACATCTTAAACCAAAAAATGGTCTTAATTAAATTAAATTGAATAAGTATTTGCAACTGCCGATTGGTCTGAATTAATCAAAGTATTAACTAAAACAGAATTAGACAAGTAGTACTACACCTTCTTAAAATCTCGCAAAAACCTCTTTGTAGAATTATGTTTTAAGATCGATATATCTTGTGAAGCATTCTGGCGTGCTTTGAGACTTGTATTCGGGGTTTTATTGCTCAGCTATAAAAATGTTCCAAATGGTAACAAAAGCTGCATTAAAACTATGTATGTTTATAGAATATATGTTTATGTAGGTCTGAAAGAAATGCGACGATGCGGTAAATTGGAAAACTCGCCGCTAACGATTTGAAAAACGAGCACTTGACATTCTTAAATAAATTAACTACAAAATTCTTGCTAATAGCGGTTTCCACTGAATAGATTTAAATAACAAGCTTGACATTTTTTTCAAAGCACTAAAAATGCCTAATTAGATAGAACATATTTTTTTTATAAGTTATTATTAATAAATTAGATCAGGGGTATCGAGCTAAATCACCACTTCGGTGAACAATTTACATTAATTTAACCTACTGATACAAATTTTAATTCAGAATATCTATTAGAGCTTGAAGACTACAGTAATATTTTAATATAATAAAAATAATATAATTTATTGCCAGAATCACAGTTAGGCAAAAATTTTCAGGCAAATCAATCAACAGGAAGAGGAGAGTGAATTCCGATTATGATTTGACCCTCCATTTCAAATTAAATAAAAATATAAAGCAATCAAACAACATTCCGTTTAAATGTGCAATGGTATTAAATGGTTCTACGTTGCATGCTCCTACTCGTGTATGTAAGCATTCAAGTGACTAATTGGAGAGGCGCCGAGAGCGGTGGCCGTTGCAACAAAAGATGCATGGACCGCTCCATCGAGTGGAGGGGGAGTGCGGCCAGTTTGTGGTTTCTACAGTTTAAGGCAGCGGTTTCCAACTTATTTGCGGATAGAACTATTTGAAAAACCAAGTATTTACCCTTTTGAAAAACCAAATATTCACTACTAAAAATCAATTACATATCTATTTTAACTCCAATCATTTGTTAGCAAGTTTACAAATATTCTCTAATGTGAGATACATAAGTAGTTTAAAGATAATGAAGGTTTATAAGCATAAAATAATAGGTTCATTAGAATAGTGATATACAGATCACAGATACGGCGGAACAATGGATGACAAATAAATAATAATTTATAAGATTTCATCATATACATTGCTCTGATTTGAAGATGAAGTAGGTAAAGCACTCTTATTGTTGAGTACATATGTGGTTTTAAGGTTTTCAAAATACAATAGTTTTTAGCAACTTATTTCAGGATTTGAGCATTGTAAGTGGCGTGGTCTAATATTTATTACTTTATTTCTAATTGAAGATATATTAGGGGTTAAAGAATGAAATTGCCGTTTTATTGGAATAGGTTCCTTGAATTGACATAGAATCTTCAAGAAACTTTTTTCACATACTTTCTATGACGATCTTCTTTTAAAAAATGTGAAACATTTGAAAATCGACTTTCGATTGTTTTTGTTATTCAACTTAGACAGAAAGATGGATACTGCAAAAATTCGAATGATTTTTGAATACGAGTTTCGACGTGAAAGTAACGCAGCAGAAACAGTCCGCAATATCAATGTTGCGTTTGGAGAGGGGTCTACTAATGAACGCACCGTGCGATTTAGGATTAAACGCTTTCGTGATGGAAACTTCGACTTGAATAACGAGCGACGAGGAAGACTACCCGCACTTTTATATTGACTCATTTGAGTCAAATCAATAAAAATAAAAAAATGGGTGCCTCATGATTTGAATAGTCTGTAGAAAGAAACGCGAGTTGAAACTTGTGTTGCCTTGTTGAATCGGCACAGAAATGAAGGAATATTCGATCGAATTGTGACATGTGATGAAAAGTGGATTCTTTATGATAATCGTAAAAGAAAAATGCAATGGCCCACACCAGGTCAAACACCACAACAGTATCCTGAAGCAAAACTTACCAATAAAAAGGTAATGGTAACTGTTTGGAGATCTCAGCATGGTGTTATTCACTATAGTTTTCTCCGATCTGGTCAAGCAATAACGGCAGATGTCCATTGTGCCGAACTCCGAACAATGTTGGAAAAACTACAAGTAAAACAGCCCCGACCCATGAATCGATCTTCATCATTATTACTTCATGACAACGCGAGACCTCATACAGCACGAGAAACCGTGACCCTTCAGGAACTGCAGTTAGAAACTATTTGCTATCGTCCGTATTCACCAGACCTTGCTCCAACAGACTACTATTTTTTCGTGATTTGGATAATTATCTACGTGACAAGAAATTTTCTTTCCAGGAGGCAATACAAAATACTTTCACACAATTTGTGCAGTCTAGATCTTCAGAGTTCTATCGCAAAGGCATAAACGACCTTCCTATTAGATGGCAGCAATATATAGATAATAAGAGTAACATTTTGATTAAAAAATTTGTTAAAAGATAAACTATGTTGATTTTCAGTACAAATCGGCAATTTCATACTTTAACTCCTATTATTTTAATACTACACAAATTTTATATAAACACGTAAAATTCCTAACTTTGTCTCATTGCATTTTCGAAGATTACGGAATTACTGATCCGATTACGAAAATTCTTGCTCCTGAAGCTACATCGTTATGAGGGTGACATGGGCTATAATTTACGTAGGTGAAATGACGAAAAATCAGATAGTAAATATATTGCATTTGAACGTCAGGAAAATGTTAAAGACTTATGACTTTTATGAGGTTAATAAGTTCACACTTTCAGCTTTTTATTATTGTTACTCATTTTATTGTAGACTGTAAAATGTGGCTTATTTTATATCTTTTCAGTAACACTGTTTAATCATTAACGCAATGTAATCTAATCAGAGTATTTACGCACAACGATATGTCACATTTTTAATAATTTCATTGTTAATTAGATATTAAAATCTAAATATTTATATCTTTAATATATTTGAAAAGTGCATTTACACATAATACTATGGAATTAGTAGAAAAGTCTAACGAATCGTCAAATACAGCGTTTTCACATCATTAACGGTTCAATTCAATGATATGAAATCTACTTCAAAAGGTATTATCGGTATTATTTAATTGAACATCTAAAGTGCAACAGCGCTCGAGTCGCAAAGATGATCTCTATAAATTATTTTTTAAAAAGAAAACTTGGAACTATAAGGTCAAATAGAGACTAAAGGGGTACATGGCCTATTATTTATTTATTTAAATTAAAAACATAATCCACAGCAGTTTCTTATCTTAATAAAAGTATTTTTAAAAATTCGACAAACTAATTACAGAAAGACGTGTGAGTGTGATTTATGTTTTTACTTTTGACCAAGAGAATCCTATGATATCGATGCAGGTTTTCCACAACAATTAGGCGATAGAGTAGGCGTTAAATATTTAGTTAACACATAGCTGATAACGCATCTGTTATTATGACATTGAGAAAGGCGGACTGTATAGTTACCTGAATTTCCTTTTAGTAATTTAACACCTGCTTGGAATAGTAACAAGCAGGGATGAACCAATAGAGCAACTGCAAATTCGTACAGCCATAGTTTTGCACATCGCCTTATATCTCCAAATCCAGTAAGCACCACCGATAAACCGATATTTATTCTGCGAAAATATAAACAATATATTTTGTACCAGAAAAACTAATTTGTTTCAACGTTTGGTATGTTCTTCTAGTGAAGAATTTCGAATAATCCGTTTATATAATTGTATAATTTGTACCTTCAAAGCAATATGTTTCACAGGCCTATAAGTTAAAAACTGCGTATGACTTTAGTATTTTTTTAATTAAATTCAACTTTTAAATGTGAGATAAATATACAAAAGGAAATGATTCTCAAAAACGAAGAGCAAACTTTAAAACAAATTGCCACAGGCAGGATTTAAAATTGATAGTTAAACCTCAATAAAATTATGGATCCTAACATTACACAATTGCTTAATAAGTTGAAATTTGTAGAACGTAGAACAATATGTCGCAAAAATCTTTCCATGAATCATCGCATGCAGCTATTTTTTGCAGACCAGAAAGCCTATTGTGTTTCTCCGCAATCCAAATTTAGGAAAGCCTATTGTGTTTCTCCGAAATCAAAATTTGATGTATTTTCGAAACTTTGACATGACTCCAATAAAGCCCTTTTTCGATAATTTATGATGCAACAGAGCTAGGACCTGACACTACCTGTAATGTACAGATAAGATTATCCATTCAAAAGAAATAATAAGAAATTAGAATTAATTTAGTAATTTTCCGAATATTCGTTCGTGGAAAAAAAAGTGTAAGCTCTTTGTTTTATCAAAGAAAAAAACGTTTTACTTGCTTTCCTCTCTCTACGAAGTCGAATATGACCGTGTCACATAGTAGCACAAGCAATATGACCACGAATATATGGTAAATCGCTCTGATGTGTTTCGAGTTTTCCAGTAGGACTGTCAGCATGGATTCCCGTGCAACGAATTCAGGTTGTGGTTTTTTTTCTTCGTCCCGTATTACGTCACCGTTTGTGCCGACAGCGCGTCTGCGATTTCGCAAATCGGCCATCGCGATAGTTTTCCTGAAATAAATATTACTTTTTACGATCGAAAAGTGTACTAATATATTAATTTTATATAAAGACTAGCTTTGTCAGCGATATCGTCCGCGTCGTATAAATATTTTTCAATATATCGTGTAAAATATCTGAATATAAAGTTTCATGATTTGTCTTTGACAATGACTTCTATATCAAGCAAGTCAACTATTTGTAATGTATTAACGAACTAAATAGACTAAGAACAATATAAATTATAATTACCGCTTTTTTTATTTAAATTGACGAGATGGAGGAGAAAGATGTATGAGTGAAGTAAATGTAAACATTGAGGTTAATGAATATGTCGTTAGGAGCTTGAAAAATTTATTACTCGAGCTCCTCCGTGCTTCGAAAGGTACGTTAAGCCATTGGTCCCGGTAGCATCTGCAGTAGACACACACTAATCTGGTGATGATATAGTAACCAACTAGTTAACTGTCAAGGTTCGTGGTACGAAATACAATTATTAATTTTATTAATAGCAAAATATCCGCGATATAAGAATAAAATTACTTTAATGTTCAAAGTTCTGTTTCCAATATGTTTCAGTACTTAATCTCTGAAAACTTTAAAACTATTTATCCAATTTCAAATACAGATGGAAAAAAAACACAAATCTAAAATTATCTGAAATCTATGCATTTTTTTTAACACAACGATGACGCAGTTTTATTAAGAATAAAAGCCATCTAGTAAAGCAAAGCTAAAAGTTCTTATTATGTAGTATTCTTTTAAAAACTCAACCTTTACCAAAACAGTGAGTTGTAGGAAAATACTAACCGCCATCTAGTATAGCTTAAAAAATTTGTTTTCTTTCATAATAAAAAGATTTGTACTTGAATATAAAAAAAATTATGTTATTATTGTTATAAATTTTGTACCAATTTCATCACTATTTATAGAACATCTTTATAAATAATATTAAATAGATTTATTACAATGACAAATCAAATAGTAAACAATGATTGTTTGATTTTCCATAAAATCTTCTTCTTTCTTCTTTTCGTGCTGGTTTTCGGGAAAAAATATAACCTATTACTATCCCACGGTCTTAAACTACTCAAATACTACGTTTTCATTCTTTTTGACGTCGTAGTTTTCTACTTTCACAAGTGATGTAACCCACAACTTATTGTAGTAGCAAATAAAAAAATTAATGTTATTATTCCGACATAATAAGATAAGAATATTGTCATTTTATTTCACGACTATGGCCAAGACGATCAATTTCCTTTCTATTAAAAATATCAGTCTGATTATTATTGAGCAGATAAGATTGCACTGCTTTGAACTACAATTACTTCGATATACGAAATTCAGTACCTTGTAAGTGCAGAATAATAGAAAAGATTATTTTAGGGTTCGTTCTATAATAAGAATTCTTATAATTTAATCGTGTCTGTGTCTGTCTGTTTATTTGCTGACCTCAGAAACTCCGAGGTAGTATTGATACTAATTGTTATATGCTATGGATACAATACATAGGTACTTTATTAATGACAATATCAACAAATCCAATATAAATATCAACAAAAATATTACAGTTTTAAAACGTTCACTGCGGTTCACCCATAAAATTAGCCCGACGTGGTGCTAAATCAATGTGCGCACAGGAAAAATCTCGTCTGTCTCGCCAGTACGGAACCTGTTTCCTGAACAATTTTATTAGTATGACAGAGACAAATATAGTTTTCGATTTGTGAATTTAATAACGCGTCGGGCTTTTTTCGACCTCCACCGTATAGAACATAAAAACCGTATAGAAAAAAGTTATCTCAGTACAGGGGCGAGTCTGTTTTGGTGGATGACCGCTCGCGATCTATTGCCGGACTGTGCATATGCGTACGCGTGGAGCTGCCATAAGTGTTGCGCTTGCTATGGGAGGAGGTTGCACTAGTGCGTTTCGTGAAAACAATGGCGCATCGTGAAAACCAAATAATACTAGAAAATAAAAGTAATACCGGAGAGGAAAATAGCGGTTCATTTTTTTGAAGTCCCTAAACGAAATGGATACAGAAAAATATTTTAAAAAACAGGAAAGTAAAATTACAATTTTGGAAAATAAAATAATCCTACATTGACTTCCTTAGAAACAAAAAAGCAAGCCATGAAAATTAAAATAGTCTGTGTTAAGTGTAATCAGTCTCTTTGCATAAGTTACAAGGATTAATTATACCTAAATTAATTTATTTTTATATCAAAGAAAATACTATTAATAGTTTTTATTTTTATTTTAAATGTGAAAGCCTCATTCACATTTAAATCAAGTAAGGTTTGTGTTTTGTTAAAAATCAATAAAATTAATGACTTGATATTTTCTTTTCTTCACTGTCCCATCACTACAACATCTTAGAGCGGTATCGGGCCCTATCGATCGGACGTTTTCAATCGATAATTTTCTAATTTTCTAATCGGGGCAATGTATACACAAGTGATTCATGGAAAGTTTAAAGATTTGTAATGTACAGTACGCTTTGACTAAAATAATAGCGCTTTAATACCACCCAGAGGTGTCGAGTCGATAGAGCCACGCACGATAAGAAAGTCAAGTGGGTGCATTTTAGGATTGCCACAGCTGAAAGTCACCGTTTTTTATGACGTAGTCAACGTGTTAAATTATATTATCTATTAGTTATAGCATTTAAAACATTTTTATATGTTGAAATCACTCTATTAAATCACATTATTTTACATGTGATAGTTCAGGCATTAATTAATATCTAATATGACTATCGTTTCTTGCCAAAACATTACATAACAAGCAATGGAAATATTGAACGAATATGTTCGCGCACTTTGTAGCGACAAATGCAAATGACAATAAAACCCGATTTATAACATATTAGTAAAGTCACAGATGGTTTAAATTTTAAATAACAATCCCTTTCAAAGGTATAGAATAACTTTTCGAATGAATGATGATTTGAACAGTCAAAAACATTGTTAAACCTGTCGGAAGATTGCAGTCAACATTCAACTCTTTAGTTTGTATTTCTCAATAACTTTCATGCATTTATTTAAGCATATTTCTCAATAGCTTGCATGCATTTAACGCTTTGCTTGGAAACTTTTAATTAACGTCAAATTAGCGATATCGTTCATTTAAAATCTTTCAAATGTCAAATTAAAAAGGGATTGGGAAAATTTGACAATTAGGGTCCGAATTTACACATACCAGTGAAGTCACAGTAAGGATACATTTCGATGCTTCAGTGATCATACCTTCCCTATAGATGGATTCGAATAGGGAGAATAGGACACGACACACCACGCAGGCCCAGTGCGGATTTGTGGGTGTTAACGAGTGAGGATGCAGTTGGGACCTGCAGCGAAAACTTTCAGGAAATTCTTCACGCCTAATATAGTTTGATCACCTTAACAGATTTATCTAAGACCCATTTCATTATTAATTAAATCGATTCAAGATGACGTATTTTCTCAAAATTCACGTGAAACGATATATTTGGTTTCAGCCCATCTACTTTATAAAATAAACTTTACCTCCATCTTCCAGTGTTACATTCCAATTAAAATATTTATCAAATAATTATAAAAAAAAACTATCTTTCATTATATAATAGCACTAGCTATTTTTTTTTTAATTGGTCCTGTAGTTTTGAACCTATTCAATGCAAATATACAAACAATTAAAGCTTTCCTCCTTAGAATGTTAGTATAGATATGTATATCAAACTATAAGTAGAGGCAAATAACTAAAAAAATGGAATACTGAAATTACTTTCTAAAATTTTCTTTATAGAAATTTTAATACATTTATTGCGATTTTTTGGAATAATTGTCATTATTCAATTTTTCCCCTAATAGGAATATTTTAAAAATAATTGTCAATATTCCATATTATTCCATGTTATATTTTATAAATAATGAACTAGTTGATTTAGTCACGCGTTGCTGTGGCTCATGAGATAAATAATGGAGATAAATCTTTAATATTTTAGGTTTGTACATATACATTTGTCATTAAAATCAGTTCAGTAGTTTCGGAGTTTATCAATGACATATATCGTGACACGAGAATTTATATAAATATTTAGACTACAAATATTGATAAATCTTCTAAATGATGCGTTTATGAGAGTCTATAAGTGCTCAAGTACCGGCCATTGAAGTGATTAACTACGTCATATTTGCACTGAATGTTTTGATTAGATTTATTTAACCTTTCACTCTAGATAAACAGTTTACGAGGACAAGTTTATGTCAGTTTTCAGGAAATATAATGAATTCATTCAAATAAAGCGTTAAACTGCCTAGAGAACCGTTTAATGAGATAAAAGTAGCTTATATATTAATTTAGGTATAGAATTATCCGTATACCAAATTTCATTCAAATAAGTTCAGTAGTTTTATGCGGGAAAGAGTAATAAACATACATCTATAGCTTCACAAACAGGATTGCTTTTATAATATAATAACGAAAGCTGTTTATATACGTAATTCAGAAAATCCATGTACTATTTTGTTCGTCCTTTATGAGATGCTAATGACCTGTCACTCTTATCTATGAAAGGCATATATTATGGCAAAAATAGAAGCATGATTATCGAACGACGTTTAGCTTCTTAGAGTGACTTTACTATTCGTCATTATATAGATGCAGTGGGTATCTTTGACATATAGTGTTAATCGAAAATCAGGTTCAAAATATTATGGACAAAAAAAAATCTTTATTATTATTGTATTGAAATACACATTCAACCCACGACGGATGAATAAAAATATTATTTAGGAGTTAAACGTGAACTATTGTGTAGATTTCACATTTAATGATGTAATTTTTGATCTCTTGTAGCATGATTGTTTTTCAATCAATGCCATTAAAATTTTGTGTATTGTTAGACATTTTTGTAAGCTACTTTGTAAAGACACGTATTTCTTTTATTGTTTGGTTTAAATAAACTTAATATTTTTTTTTTGTAAGTTATGTTTTAATTGACTTTTAAATCGAAAAGGTTCTATAT